CACCGCGCCTGGCCTCAGCTAATTTTTTGTATTTTTAGTAGAGATGGGGTTTCACCAAGTTAGCCAGGATGGTCTCGATCTTCTGACCTCGTGATCCGCCTGCCTCGGCCTCCCAAAGTGCTGGGATTACAGGCATGAGCCACCGTGCCCTGCCAATGTAACACAAATTTCTAAATATTTATTTATTTATTTGTTGTTTTGAGATGGAGTTTCCTCTTGTTGCCCAGGCTGAAGTGCAGTGGTGTCCTCTCAGCTCACCACAACCTGTGCCTCCTGGGTTCAGGCGATTCTTCTGCCTCAGCCTCCCAATTAGCTGGGATTACAGGCACCTGCCACCATGCCCAGAGAATTTTTGTATGTTTTAGTAGAGATGGAGTTTCTCCATGTTGGCCAGGCTGGTCACAAACTCTTGACCTCAGGTGATCCACATGCCTCAGCCTCCCCAAGTGCTGAGATTACAGGCATGAGCCACCGCACCCACCCTCCACCTTGGTTATTTTTAAGCACTAAAATTTGATACTTATTTCTGAATGAAGTCATCGCTTAATTGTATTTTTGTTTTTACTTATGTTCTTTAAATTGCAAAGATTCTTGTAATTCAAGAGAGAAGTGGGATCCAGAGAGATTCTTTTATCATGTGATACATGATAAATACATTCAATATTATATGTCAATTAAAAAAATAAGTAAAGGACTTTAAAGAAAATATAATTACTTTATACCTAGCTTGTCCAACCCACGGGTGACAGAGTGCATTCAACCCAGGACAGCTTTGAATGCAGCCCAACACAAATTAGTAAGCTTTCTTAAAACATTCTGAGATTTTTTTTGTGATTTTTTTTTTTGTTAGCTCATCAGCTATTGTTAGTGTATTTTATGTGTGGCACAAAACAATTCTCATTCTTTTAATATAGCCTAGAGAAGCCAAAAGATTGGACATCCCTGCTTCAGACCAAGAAAAGACACACCCCACATTTGCATGCCTAAAAACACAACCAGCCATGCAAGGAACGTGAGACTGGAAACTTCCAATCTTTCCTGAAGCAGTGGAATTGCCTGGGGATATCTGAGGGGTGTGGTTAACTCTTGGAGGAGGTTGAGGGTTTCTAAGGATGGTTCCTTGTAATTGAAATATTGTAAATGTCATTGAGCCTTCTCATTATGTCAACTAGTATTATTCCATGCCATCAATTTTCTGCCTGGGCATTTTCTTCCTGGGCCTGACTTTTTTGGAATTCCTTGGATGCTTATTATTATTGTTGTGTCCCTGGGAATTTCTACACTTGCCATTTTCTTCAGGAGAACTAGCCTTGGTGTGAGCACACTAACTTCCCCTAGAGGTGGGCTTATAATCATAAATAAGAAATTATTTAAAACAATTTGTGGTTCCGGACTTCATTATGAGTATTGGGCTTTATTTTAAAAATCAAGAAAATGATTTATTAGCATAAGAATTATGAAAAATCTGCTATTTAAATAATGGCAGATTTTTAAAAAAAATTTTTTAAAGTTTCAGCACTTAAATAGGAAATTCTTTCTAAACTTTTCTGCTTTATAGTTCTATTGTGCGGGTGGAAGGAAAGCTTCCACTCTCCTCTCTAACGGTTCACTGCAGCAGTGTACTAACAACAGACAGCTTAACAGGAGAAGGAAAACATGGAACCTTATTAACAGGCATAAACATGGGAGCCAGTCAAAAAATGAGACGGCAAGAAGGGCCAGATGATTGATGCTTAAAGAGCACCCTCTTCTCGGAGAAAAGGGAGATGGAGATGTAGGCAGGGCTGCAAATGATTTTCAGGGGAAATGAAAGAGCCCAAGGAACAAACAGTTGGCCTGAGACAAAGTTCCTCTGAGATCGTGAGGAAGAGGCGACAAAC